AGGATCAAGTATTTGGCATTGGCACAGATGCAAGTAAGAAACATACTGTATTTGGCTGTCTTCCTATATCTACCTGGCCATTAAATGAGACTAACTGTTTGTAAAAGACACTACATTTATTCCTACTGCTATATAGAAATATATAGGCTAAGCCTAATCTTATTTTCATTTACACAGGTATAACTACTTATTTTGGACTTGATGACAGCAGGAAATAATAGCCTGATGACATCTTGATAAAGTGTGTACGCACACACAAATATAAAAACCAAAGATAACATCACTTCAAATTTGCCTAGAAAAAAAAATTGAGTTGCTGTACCTGTTTTTTGTTAACAAACTATTAAAGCTTGGTAGCAAAATTTGAACTGCAATTCGTAACTCAAAAGCAGACTAGCATGTGTATATTGAAATGAGTCGTACAATCCTTCAGCAAGATCAGAAGCTTACACAGGAGCTTAAGGCATCAGCTGCTAGAAGGAGAAACACCCCACAACATCATTCTTTAAAGTGTGAACAGCTGATGGCCTGTATACAACTACTGTGTATCTCAAGATGATAAACTATTTCTCCAGCCTTATGCTGATTCTGTCCTTTGTAAGCATACTTCTTGTCTTCTCCACATAACCAGAGAGGCAATCCTAAAGGCAAACTGCTAGGAACAAGGAGCACTGAGCTTACACCTCAACTTATGGCGATCAGAACAAAAGAAGCATGTCCAACAGTCTGACAGGTAGAGACCACTTTGCAGTGTTAGTCAATAGGACATATTATGTACCTTGCCCATAGTTTAAATAGCCATCAAAGCACATACATGATCACTTGACCGTATCCACTGCCCCAGTATTGAACAGCATGTGCTAACTGAGAGGAATATTAAACAGATCTTGGAATGCAGCTGCCTATCCAAACTGGCAAAGCTGGAAGGGAAACTCATGAGGACTTAAAATACATTTTATATAGACAACCCCTTCCCATTCATCCTGCTGTCAGATACTCAGCTCTTTCCTGAGGCCTAGGATTCTCCCTACCATCACACTGTTCTCTAGGAAGTGATAAACAAATCTCTTATGTACACTGCTGCCATCTAAAACAGCTCAAAACTATGCCCTATGTCCTACTGTTTTTCTCAATCCTTGACAAAAAACAGAAAACTAAGATTTAAAATGGTTCCTACCAGTTCTGTTGACAGTGCCAGAGCCAGTAGTAGCCTGTATAACTGTGAATCAGAATCTCTGCCATCCAAAAGTAAAAATATTCCAGTCACCCTGAAGCTCAATGGTGAAAAAGACACACACATACATTTGTCACCAGAATTGCTATGGTAACCCTTTATCATGCACACAACACTAGAAAACTTCAGACTGAAAAAGCATCACTTCCACAGACATATCACATACAGGAAAACAAGAATCTCATTAAAATGAGTATCAATCATTAGTATTTTGTCAATTTCTAATGCAGACTTGAATGGCTGCCAAAGAGAAGGGAGAAGCATCTGTGGGGATGCTGTATCTCAAAGTCCCACACAGAGAGTGATCCTGTATGCTGCCATAAAAGGGGAAAAGTATGTTACACCAGAGACAGACCAGGAAGAAGATAGTGCCACAAAGAAGAAAACAGTTGGCTGACTGTGACAAAGTCACACCAAAACGCCACCCAGCCTCACATTTATAGCTGTTAGCAGTTTTAGTTCAGCAGGATTTTTTAAACGATCATCTTCCTTCACCATAATACTAACTGCACTGTTTTCTAATGTTTATATGAGTTCTACTTCTAAGCAACAAAAAAGTTAAAAATAACAAGCTTTCTCTATATACCCAGATAGCACATTCCATACGGAATTTTCTTGAGACTAGAAGCTAAAGTCTGTTCTTTGACAAACATGAATACTTCCATTATTTTTTTAAACAGGAGATGTATGGGCAGAGTCCAGCTGTATAGATTTACTGGCATAGTAAACCTCTGTAGTTCAGGTTAATCTAAATACATATTTAAATTCCAAACAAAGGAAAGAAGGTACTCTTTGAGGTCACTCAAAAATGCAGCATTTAAGTTTCAGCAAAAATATTAAGATTTTTATTACTTGCTCTTCTATAAAGGAACTCAGTTTACATGGCATTTAGAATAGCTTTCTTTTTGAGACAACTGAAATCATAACAAAGTACTTCATTTTTTAAAGGTTTTTCTAGAAATTCAGCTATTGATTGTGCTCTTTACCTTTCAGAGATACAACAGAACCAAGAGATTTTTCTAAAGAAAAAAAGCTTGTGGGTTGTAATAAAGCTTCTTTTTACTTAAAACAAGAAAATATGAAGCAAAATTATCTTTTGCGTTATATTTTTGAGGAAAAGCGTTAAAAATTTAAAGATAAAAAGATAGGAGGTGTTACTGATCTGTTATGAATTTATATTTGAACCCAGTAATTGTGAATGTATTGGGTGAATTACTTTTTGAAAACCACAGCAAAAAAGAATAGGTGTTAATAAAACACTGAGTATAAAAAGCATTAGAATTTATCTTTGATCTCACTTTGGACTTACATAGCTATGACATCAAAAACTTTCTAAGTCCTGCTTTTGTCAGCATAGCAATTCTGATCTTTGAAACCAGGAAGCCTTTACTCACTAACCAAATCAACCAATACCTTTCTATTTTGGATTTCACATGGACACAGGTAAGACTGGGAAAATTACTGACAATCCCAGGTGGCTGAAATTCCTTTTTTTTTGTTTTTGTTTTGTTTTTGTTTTATGAGAAACTGAGGGGGCTTTACTTGTTTTATCTGGATGTGAACACATTCTGGTTTCTATTGGCACTTTAAAAATATAGTCTTGAGATTTTTCAACCACAGCTTTCAACATTTTAAAAGTGCTATCTCATCTGCATCTGGGCTTCAGCTTAAGAGGAACCACATCTAAATACAACAACCAGAAACTAGGCTGAAGACCCTGGATGATCTCATGCAGGCAATGTAATGGAGCCCTAGGAGTTTACAATGAGATGAAGAGGCCTCTAGGTGCACTGAGTACTGACTCAACCTTCAATGGCTGCAAGGAGAGCTAAGACACCTCACATGTCAACACCTACACACAAGCTCCTTGGCTGAGACATCTTGATCTAAAGCTGAATCCTACACTGTTTCATGCTGTTATGACTTCCTCACCAGTGCCCTTGCAAGTATTATTCAGGGGATCAACCAGCCAGTCAAAATGACTGAGTACATAGGTATCTTCCTGCCACAATAACAGTATCTTGAGCTGAAAAGTAGGAAAAGCCAGTATTACGAATAATGATAAGTGATACTCAGAAGAATGGCAATGACACAGAGATGAGCATTTCCACTAGGAGAAACTACTGAAGTTAGGGTTTAAGAATTCTCATCCTAAGTCTTGTGGGCCCTTGTACCTTGTACCTGTTTTCTGTATAATCATTTGGGACACAGAGAAGTTAATAAAATGGGGAGAGATGAGTTAGAGAGTTTTTCCTATGGTTTGCACCACATTTCTCTTACAATCATGACCAGATTTCTCTGTTTATTTGCCCTTGGAACAGCACTGACTGCTGTCATCTCCATGGTGGTTCTTTGCCTACAGCTACCTCAGGGCATTTCATGTAGAGATATAAGCTCCGAGGACTGAGAAGCTGTTTACAGGCATTAAACAAGAGACACTTCAAGCAACTGAAATGTGGGGGTCTAAACCCAGAGGGAAAAAACATGGGTGGCAGCACAAGTCAACATCAACTAGAGGGCAGCCCACAGGTTCAAGTAACAGCCTCAGGTCCTCAACAGAGCTCATTCAGAGCAAGAGTGCCTCACAGAATTACCATCTCCTCATTGACTGCCAGCAGCACAGAGGCTGAAGAACTTTGTATAGGCCACACATTGAGAGCCTACTATGAAACATAAGCACTATGGGGGGTGGACATTTCCAATATCATACTGCCTACCTATGTAATACTATTAAATGGAGGCTGGCACTGCAAGGGTACTAGGCAATCAAACTGAGTGGGATGAGAGTTTGTAACAGAAACTGTCTTTCAGCAGAAAATTACAATCAGAAACAAACAAACCTCCACCCCACCCCCCCCCACCCAACACACAAGTTTGCTTCCCATAAAGAAAATCCTAACTTAAAATAATTATCAGCCAATGAGCCTGTAAAACTTTGACTTGCAAATATGATTTTGAAATACAAAAGGCACTGACAAAAATCCTGTTTCAGGCAACATACTTGTGCTAAGATGGTACCAGAGACCAGAGTTACCAGACTTTACTTCTCATAATGCATCTTGAATATGTAAAAAGGTAGAGTTTTTCAACTGATCTAACTAAGTTTGGCTTTGGTATTGGCTTTTATTTTCTTTTTCCCCTTGCTTTTCCGCATTCCCATACCACTCTTTGGCTCAAAAACTTTGTGTCTAACTTTTGCTATACCTAATGTTTCCTTTCTGCTGGTCTATTTCTACCTTAAAACTGAAGTTAGATCCCCAGATTTCCACATTTTCAATTCCAGCTCATAAGACAAAGTTCTACTCTTCTTAAAGCAGAATGAACTCACAGCAGTATATATAATTAATAAAAATAGCAAGCAGTGCAAAATTTAAAATAACTGAGGGCTGCCTGGATTATAACAACTTTATTAGCATGTGATTAATAAGCAGTTGAAGTATTACATTTGCTACACATTTGCTAAGTTATTTTATCTTGCTTTAAACTTAGGTGGCAAAGTTTCAAGCCATAGTTAAGAGATTTGCTTTATTCACAGTGTAACATTGTTAACCCCACCATCTGGTCAAACAGCTGAGGGAACTCAGACAACCCTGGGGGAGGACTATGTTTCTTTCTTGGGAAATATTTGCCTTACTGAATTATGCAATGGATTTTAGCTTACTACAGTAGGTTTTAAATAAATCCATTAAAATACTTCGTAGATGGCCTGAGTTTAGTGGGCTCTGTATTTTGCTTTAACTGTGTAGGAAAATAAGATGGCACTTACTTGAGGACCAGGTTGACCCTGAAAAACAAGAAAAGATAAGGTTATGAAAAGTTATGACAAGGATTAATTCCTTAAATAATAGCAAACAGTTACACTACTCTCTAATAAGGAAATAACAAAATAATCCAGTAACTGTTCTGAAGTCAGACTCTTAAATCTATATTGACTCCTATGTCTATACTGAATTTGAATGTTTTAATTCAATCTGATGAACTTTCTTGCAATTAAGTCATTCCAGAATTGAATTACAATAACACATCATTAAACTTGCATTTGAGAAACCTAATTGTTTAGATTATAGACCAATTAAGAAAGACCTAATTTAATCATTCACAAGTAAGAAAGGATCCACAGATGCTGAACTGATTTAGAAGCAACCTGGTCTAGTGGGAGGTGTCCCCTGCCCATGGCAGGAGGAACGGAACTAGATGATCTAAAGGTCCTTTCCAACACTAACCATTCTACGTTTCAACATCTCCATGTTTCAAGGAGGTGCTAATTGCTGTCTATCAAATGAACAAAGTCTAAAAAGTGAAAGAACATACTGCTGGCCAAACAATAGTCTTTTTGTTCTTGTTGTAAGCACCAGTTTTAACCAAGTATTATACCAATATTTAAGCCAGCATGTCAGGAGTAGATGAACATTTGTCAGTCACCCCAAGAGTTAACTGATACATTTCTTCTCCCTAATTTACCAACATCACCTCTGGACTACCCTGGACAAATGGAGAAGCACCCTTTGCGTACTAAAGAGTTGTATGTATCTCTTGTTGCTGCAAGTCCTTACAGAGCAGACTTCCTGTGACTGAGGCCCCTAGCCTAGGAAAACCACTGAAAGTCATCACTTATTCTAGCCCTCTCATTATACTTTATTTGCATGAAGCAAATTAAAAAAAAAAATATGTAACAAAGTGGTATAGAAGCTGTGACTATGGACTACAAGCACATCTGAACATCAGGAAACACTTTTTTACTGGGAGGGGTGACTATGGACTACAAGCACATCTGAACATCAGGAAACACTTTTTTACTGGGAGGGGTGACTATGGACTACAAGCACATCTGAACATCAGGAAACACTTTTTTACTGGGAGGGTTACTCATCACTAGTACAGGTTGCCCAGGGAGGCAACCTCGGAAATATTCAAAAGCTGTCTCAACATGATCCTGAGCAACCTGCCATAGATGGCTCTGCTTGAGTAGAGAGGGTAGACCAGGTGACCTCCAGAGGTCTCTTCCAACTTCAACCATTCTGTGATTCTGTGTGATTTTAAAGAAGGGGATGGGGGCATCTGAAGATAAATGCTTTTTTTAGGAACCTATAAGATTTCTTGTACTTAACTAAAAACCAGGAAAATGTTCTAATTCACATGCCAAATTTTATTTTTTTTAAATATAAAAAATATTAGCTGTTTCTTTACAGAGAAATCATAGTAAAATACAGATTTATTGTGGTTACCTAATCCTTACACTGAAGGCAGCCTAAAAGCATTCCTTGTTGAGGTACTGCAGTTTTGTACTAGTCCCTTACAACAACATTGCACTATAGAGGTTTGCAGACAAAAATAAGCACTGGCTGCTGTTTGCCAGTTCTAATATGAACTACTGTTTTCTAGATTGATCAATTCTATGAAGTTGCACATCACACTGGGTTAATGAATACAACTGGATATTGGTATATGCTCAGCACTCAGCCTTTCTCTCAGTCTTCCCATCCCAGCAGGTTTTAAGCTATTATATGCTATATCTGATCCAAAAATCCTGAGGAACTGCTTACTTATGCAGTACTGGACAGCTGGTACAATAGATTTGTATGAATTAACGAAACTGAGACCTATGCATACAAACTTTTATAGACAAACTCACAAAACATTTGTCTCACAAATATATCTAAAGTTGCAATTTTGACCAAACCATTAAAAACCATCTCTAAGACACAGATTTAAAAAAAACCTCAAAACAACAAAAAACAACTTGAAGTATGAAATTACCAAAATGTTGATTTAAAGCAGTAGAAAGCATATAAACAGAGTACATATATATTTAAAGAAAAAGATTTGAAAACTGCACTTTTTTTCTTTAATCTAATTTAGATGTACAGTGTCCATATGGTACATGCCATGATATAAAGGAAGCACACACATAACACAAACATAGCCTAAATTGAATGTCAGAGATGGAACCATGCTCCCATGAAAGTGTTTTTTACTCTGTCTCAACATCATTACCAGTTTGCCCTTCTGTCATTGTGCATTTATAAATACTTTTTTATCATATCTGCAATACAGAGAGGGGAAAGCTAGAAACTGAAGTTTTATAGGACAATTGTTTTTCTTTGTGACACAGAACTCTGTAAAATAATGGGGAATGTAATAGTTGCATTACTCTAAGTTAACATGTGCTATCAACTGTGCAATCATCCTACACTTAACTGTAAATGTAGATGTTGAATACAAAAGTAGCCATAGCAGGAATTTTTTATCCTGTTGGCTATGAGCTCCTGGAGTATGGAAGGAACTTTGCATTAGCAAAGGTAGTTATTTTCTGGTTGGTTTTTTTTTCAGTTCTTTCTAATCCTTCAATATTTTTGCATGCTCTTAGATGCTCCTTGCCTGACTAGCTACTCCAGCTACAGTACAATTTTCTCTTCTCACTAATGATCCAGTAAATGACAGTAATCAGAGGATGCAGCAGGCACCATATTATGAAACTCATCTGCTATGCTTACAAAGGTACAGATAGAAAAAGGCATCACAATACTGATCTTTTTTATAATAAAGGTCTGTGAATTACTTTGGTGTTCATTAAAAAACACTCTAACATGAATACAATCTGATACTGCAACTCATTTGAGCAAGCTCAATCTCAATTAATATGCCCGTGCTTCCAAAAGGGCTCCAGGGTGGCTGAAATCGCCCTGGTTTATTCCTGCGCAAATTGTTACCATTGCATGTTACTTGTGGATTAAAATGTTTTAGCTGGAAGTATTTCTCCAAATTTTAGATAACAAAAAGGGTGAAGATACTCTTGAAGACTGAAAAGTCAGCATTACTCTGCTTTTTTTTCTAATAAATATCTCTTTATTTGTATGTTATGAACCACAAAATTGATACATTGATTGTAACTAACAACTGACTACTGTTCTTTGCATGCATGTACAGATCAGTCCCAACAACAACAACTGATCAGGTGTGTTAGTGTATGCTGCTTTGAATCTCTAGATCATTGCTCATGCACTTGATTACCTATTACTGTTTGCTGTTTGTTTATTTATTTATTGTTAATCTGAATTACTACAGTGGGTATAGCTGCATAATATGCCATGGTTTCAGAAAAATCTTTAGACCAATTTTCCCTTTTATATTCTTGTTTTCTGATTAATGTGTTATTTTGAAGGAGAGAAAGGGATCAAGGTTGGCAGCCTATTCTAATTATCATGATCAAAGGTCTTCTATGGCTGATGATGCCTTTCTAGCATTTAACCTAATATTAGTTGTTGATATGTAAATGATACTAAAAGAAAAAGATGTATGGTGCAGCCAGGTCTACTTGAAGTCAACAGGTAAGCTATTAATCTGCTAAAAGAGATTAAAGAAAAAGCTTATTGACTGGAGGCTGCAAACACTGCAGAAAAGTTACTTAGTGGAAAGATGCCTCAAGGAGCGCAAGAAAAGTCTTAAGAGAAGAAAATGGAAGTTCACACTGCAAGTTAACAAGTTGAGTGTGCAAAGGAAATGAGGCTTGTAGCAGATGAAAGGACAGAAAAGATGTTTTGAGGGTATCAGAGAAAAGACCTGTCCTGGAAAAGGAGAAAGAGAGGAGGCAAAAACAACAGCATGAGAAATCACAGAAACTGGATTTTCACATCTTTTGCATTATTTTAATCTTTAAAGAGCTGGGAACATAGATTTCCAGGCTCATAGACCCAAATATATAGATATACAAATACATACACAAATACATTCACAAATGCACTGTATGAAATTAAAGGTTATTTGTGCCTTAATTCAAGTAGCATCTAACCAGACAATATCCAGGAGAGTATACGAATGCATTTAAAATGAGATATGAGGCTGTTCATATCCAATCAGCCAAAAAAATCAGGACAGAGAAATTAAGACGCAAAAATGAGGAAAAAGGAAACCATCAAGAGTCACAGATATATGGTCAGAAATAATATCCTGCTCTTTGAAAGGTACCAGGAAACTATCCTTGTAGAGCATTCTCTGGACAGAGCACCCAAGTAGGAACACCTGTCTTCCAATTTAGGCAGAAAATGATGAGAAAACAGGAATAGCATGGCTGACTTCCATTTCCTTGGATAGACACAAAAGACTGAAGTGGCTCTTCAGCACTCTGTTAAAAATCTATACTCCTGAGGTGAAAATAAATTATGCCAAAGGAAGCCAATATGTGATTAACACACATTTCAGCGTAATTAAGAAAGCAAAGAGGAAATATGTGCAAGACCTAAATTACACTGGTTTTGAACAAATCACCTACCAGCTTTCCATCCATACCAATCGGACCCTGGGATAATCAAAAGTCAAAACAAAATGGAACAGTTAAATCAGAGGAACACTGAAGATGAGGAAAAATATACAGACTTGGGGAATACTACAGGCTTTAGAAGATGCAGGTAAATGCAGTGCCTTAAAGACATGTTGAGAATGAAGGCACAGAAAACAAACAAAAGAAGCAGATCAAGGACAGAAATAACAAAAACAGTATGATGGAAAGTAGACAGGCAAAAGCTGGTGTTTAACAAAAGACATGTTCAACATGCAATGAAGTAATTGCTAGTTTGGCAAATGACAGTGGCACAACATAATAAATCATATGAAATAATGCATCTGGCTTGTGAATTTTTCTTTAAATAACAGAAAACAGAATAAGTAGCCCATTTACTGAATGCTTTTATCACATGGTTGCAAGATGATAAGAACAAACACTTAAAATCTCATAACTAATCTGTATTAAACTAACATTACAACAATTATGGTTAATAAGAAACTTCA